ACTCTGAATCAAAATTTATATATTTGTAAGTATGAACACCATAGAGAATTTATTAATTTAAAAGACAATCTTGATGAAGAGCCAGAACATGAACTAATAATTTTAAAAGCCAAACTAGATAAATTAAACTTAAATATAATAATCGATACGGGATCTGAAATTTCAATAATTAATCAAAATATCATTAATAGATTGCCAGAATTACAAAGTCAGATAGTAAAAATTTCAAAATTATCTTTAATAGGAGCAAATAAAAAAAAGTTATGTGAGGTTAACAAATTAATTAATTTAAAAATAAACCTAGCAGGTAAAGAAATATATTTACAATTAATAATTGTACCAAATATGGAAACAGATGTTGTTATAGGAAGTGATCAATTAAATAAATATAATGCCATAATTAATTATGAATGTAATAAAATAAAAATTGATGGAGATTGGATAGATTTTAGAATAAGAAATGAAATAGGTAAAGAAGGAGATAAAGAAATAGTTAAGAATATGAATGTTTATTGTTGCGATAAAAATAATGATATAAATAATGATTATGATATGTTCAATGAAAATATTATTATAGATTGTGAGGTAAAGTATTTAAGTCAAGTGAATGATTTAGTTATGAAATATAGTAAGCTAGTTTCAAAAGAATCGAGGGTAGCTAAGCAATATGTGCATAGAATGGAAATAAGAAATAGTAACAGTTTTAAGGCAAAAACATATCCAATCCCATATAAATATAAAGATAAAGTTAAAGATGAAATAAATAAATTATTAATAGATGGTATTATAGAACATGCTGATACACAATTCATAAATCCTATAGTAATAGTTAAGAAAAAGAATGACGAAATAAGAATATGTTTAGATGCTAGGACAATAAATAAAATATCAATACCTCAATACGAAGCTCCAATGTCAATAGAGGCAATTTTAGGTAGGATTACAAATACAAAATTATTTACAAAATTAGATCTCAAACATAGTTTTTGGCTGATACCTTTACATCAAGATTGTAGGGATTACACTGGATTCTCAATAGATGGTGTAATATATAGATTTTGCGTGGTACCATTCGGAATTCAGAGTGCATGTGCCAGTTTAGTAAGGGCGTTGCATAGAATCCTCAATAAATACGAAGATTTTGTTCTTCATTATGTGGACGATATCCTTATTTTTTCTAAAAATACTGATGAACACCTTAATCATTTGAACTTGGTAATGAAAGCTCTTGACGATGCAGGCCTCAAATTAAACATAAATAAATGTCAATTTTTTAAAACAGAAATAATATTTTTAGGTTATAAATTAGACACAGTAGGTATAGAAATGGATCCAGATAGGATTAAAGTTATTAGAGAATATAAACGACCAGTAAATCTTAAAACTCTCAGGGGATTTTTGGGAATGATTAATTATTTCAAAAGATTAATTCCAGACATAACAGCAAAGGAAATACCATTAATAGAATTGTTAAAAAAAGGGGTAATTTGGCAATGGACAAAGGAACGGGAGGAAGCATTCAATAAAATTAAACAACTATTCATTGACAAAATTAAAATTTATCATCCAATATACAATAAAGAGTTTATTTTGAGGACTGATGCTTCTTTAATAAGATTTGCTGGAGTACTTCTACAAGTACAAGATAATATGGAAGTTCCTATATCTTTCGTATCGAGGACTACTAAAAAACACGAGAAAAATTATAGTGTAGGTGAACTAGAATTAGCGAGTATTATATTCAGTATAAATAAATTAAGATTTTATTTGTTAGGTAATAAATTTGTAGTAGAGACTGATAACTTAGGTATAATTTCAATTCTAAATAATAAGTATGGAAACAGTAGAGTACACAGATGGGCTTTGTTACTCCAAGAATATAATTTTGATATTAGGCACGTTTCTGGGAAATTAAATGTCGTATCCGATGCCATTAGTCGAATGGATGGGAATGATAATAATAAAAACAAAGTAAAAATAGGTATAAATATAATGAAAGATGAAGAAGGGATTTTTACAAAACAAGAAATATTAAATGATCAACAAAATTTAACTCAACAAGAAAAATCAAAGGCAAAATTTAAGGGGGGAACATATGTGAAAAATTTTGAGAACGATGAACTTTATTTAATTACAAAGGATTTAACAGAGAGAGTAGCAAAAGAGATTCATGAAAGGTATGGACATCCAGGTATACGAAAAACATGGCTCATATTTAGGGAAAATTATATTTCAAAGGGGGATTACAAAATTATAAAAAATAAATTAAGAACATGTAAAATTTGTCAATTAGCAAAAAATAAAAATTGGCATAATGAAGGTATACCAAAAAGTGTAATATCAGAAAAACCATTAGATATTATAGCCATAGATTTTTTATCCAACTTAATTCCAAGTTATCAGGGGAACAAACATATTTTTGTAATAGTGGATATCTTTTCAAAATACATTAAAATGTATCCATGTAATAAGACTAATACCAAAATAATAATAGATAAGTTTGAAAGTTATTTTTCTGAAATAGGAACACCGAAAAATTGCATATTAGACAATGCGACATACTTTGTAAATGATAGAATTAGAAATTTTTTTATTAGACATAATATTAATCCTAGATATGTAAGTATACGACATCCAGCAGCTAACCCAAGTGAAAGATATATTGGTGAAATTATTAAATATTTAAGAATCATTACTAATAACGAACACAACAAATGGGAAAATAAATTGTCAGAAATTGAGGATTATATGAATCAATTGCCAAACACAAGTACAAAAGAAAATCCTATATTTTTAATGAAAGGAATAATGCCACAAAGACCATGGTCTATTGAAAGTGTCAGGCAATATGATCAAGTTATTGAGGATGTTAACATAAGAATAAAACGTACAGCAGAAAACTATATTAGAAAAAGAAATGAAAAATTAAAATTTAAAATGAAATTTAATAAAGGGGACTTGGTAGTAGTAAAGGCTTTGAAAAATAAAAACTCTCAACAGAATATATGCCCTAAACTTCAATGGCAATTTGAGGGACCATATATTATTGATAATATTGATGGTGAGAATAGTTATATTTTAAAGTACCAAAATAGTGATAAAATCAGAGGTGTGTTTCATATCTCACATATATATAAATTTTGGCAAGAATTTGAAAATAGTGTCAAAAGTAATAATAATTAATATATTAAATAATTTAATTTAAATAATAAACAATAATGAAATTTGCATTTCAAATTTCCCATAAATGTTAAATTTAAAATGTAAATTTGGGAATTTGATATGTTATGTAAACACCCAATATTCTAAAATAATAATAAAACTAATAATAACCATACTAATAATAAGAATGATAATAATATATAGTAATAAATAAAAATAATTGATAACCCTGTATATTAAAATTGATAAAACTCTTAAGTGAAGCAGACTAGGAGATAGAGAAAATGGTTTCTAGATAAAAAAAAAGGTTGAAAAAAAAAGTCAGTTTGAAGGTTTGGTCAATTTTGAATTTTGAAATAAAATGTCAAGAAAAATTTATAAATAAGATTATAATATAAAGATATACGAGTACAAGAGACTTAAATAAACAAACGGTTAACGATCTATTGTAAAAAGAAAATACATATCAGAAGAAATACTAGAGGAGGAAAAGAAGAGGAAAGTTTAAAAAGTTTATAGGCGATTGAAAGAGACATGGACACAGCAGTGATGTGAACACGGTATTTATAAAAACATTTATATATTTTTGTGTAATTATAGTTTATAGTGAGGAATAGATATTCATTCAAGTTGTTCTTCAAAAACTGAAAATTTGTAATAATAGTTATAGTTAAAATTTTAATAAATCTATATAAATGGCTAAGTTATAGCCAAATTTAAAAATAACAATTGTTAGATTTGGAAATTTTTCTTTAACGAGAGTTATTTTTTTGTTAATTAAGTTTAGTAGGTGTAGTAGAATAGTTAATAGTTTCTTTTAAATGTTCAGATATAACAGGTACTAAAAGACCTGATATTTGTTAAAATTTGCGATACTTATTTTGTTAAAATTAAACACAAATTTGATTTTGTAAGAGTTTTGTTTATTTAAGTATCGAAGTGCTTGATATCATAAATATAGGAATCATTTTTCTATAAACTAAATAAACTAAAATAAACTAAATAAACTAAAATAAACTAAATAAACTAAAATAAACTAAATAAACTAAATTTAATTAAATAAAAAAAAAATAAAAAAGTTTATAAAATATAATACTTCTTGAACCGACACCACTCAGAGAAGAGAATCTGCTCTATATAAAATAAAGTCATAAAATATATAAAAAAAGCTAGCCGAGGTAAGTTTAGGTTATTGTGTATTTTTTTATAAATTTTGAGAGGAAGAGAACGTAACAATATATATATATATATATATATATATATATATATATATATATATATATATATATATATTTTAGTTTTTAGGAATATAATCTATTAAATTATAATAATTAACTTTTCTTTTAAAAGAGAAGGAAAATACAGTTTTTTCCCACGTACTAGTCGTAAGACTTCAGTGGAGATATTTATTTTCCATCTTCATTTGGAAAGGATATGTATAAAAAAAAAATTTGTATGTAAATTGTAGAATTTGGGAAATAAAATTATTATTATTATTATTATTATTATTATTATTATTATTATTATTATCTTAGGTTCAAACCCGGGCATGTGCGAAAATATATTGCTTTTTTTAAATTTATATTTGCGTGTGAGAAGATAAACTTCTCGCACTCGAAAGAGTGCGAGAAGATCATCTTCTCGCACGCTTGTAGAAAAAATATTTAACAAACTTTCATTTATTTTTGTAAGCTTGCAATAAGTTTACAACAAACGTATTTTCCTTTGTGAGTTCAAAACAGAGATTGGTTTATTTGAAAGGTATACCCCTAAATATTATATGAGCAATTATTAAGTATCATGGCGAAATATTTCCTGTTTTAAATAGTTTATCTCACCTGTATGTTTCTCAGCAGATTTTAGTGTATGCGCCTGCAAGCGACTAACCGTGCTTCTCCCTTTCTTATTCGAAGCATACAATCCAATTTCGAATCCAACTCCCGACTCTAGACCTCCTACTATGAAAGTCGGAACTCTTGACGAAACGTTGCTCACCAGTTTTTTGGTCGCCATATCGAAAACTTCCATGATGAATTCTTGTTTTAGACCGCCGTCGAAACCTTCACTGCATTCTACATTCAAAGAGTTGTCGGTCTGGTTAATTATACTGCAATTCGATAGGGGATCTGGTTTTCCTAAAATTTAAAAAATTCAAATAATTTGTGTCCATTTATATCTATGTTTTTAGATGTTTTCACTTCGTTAGGAATATTATGTCAATATAAAAAATATAATGCTAGGTATATTGTTTTTTTTTTAATACTCTTTCCCTTGTTAAACACATTCATTTCTGCATCTAAAAATCTTTTTTACTATCCTGTAAACAGTACGGAAAGTATAGGAATTATAAATATGTTCTAACTGGAGTTTCTGTTGGATCTTTAAGTTTTGGAGTCCCTAGAATCTGACCATTTTCGCGATAATGTCTATCGGTTTGTATATTTGTGTCAAAGTCTATTTATTGATCATTTCTAAACAATAAAAAGCAGCAAATCTGTACCATCTTTGTTAAAGTACTAAGATAAACAGTATAGGATTCACAGTCCCTATGTTCTGTTTTTTCTGACTACTTTGAAAGTTTTCCAGTCAAAAATAACTTTATCTGCGATTCAAGCCAGCATAATTTTTATTGTAAGTATACATGGACGATATAATAGTTTTTTTCGATATCACTACATGACCCTATGGTAAACCTGGTAAACTTTGTTCAAAGTCCAAATAGACAAATGTGAGTTCCTGACGAAAGAATTTGGCTTCTTAGGAATTATCATTACTCTAAATGGAATAAAAACCAATTCAAATAAAATCAATGCCATAATGGCCTACCCCATATCAAATATAGCAAAATCAAATATAGTAAAAGATATTAGAGATTTCCTAGAATTGGCAGGATACTATTGAAAATGTTTAAGGGACTTCAAAATCACCAAACGTCATACCTTAAGAAATATGCCGAGATTCAGTACACACCACAGTTTTTGGAATGCGTAAACATCTGCAAAAACTTTCTTACAAATGAACCCCTACTACAATATCCAGCTATCTCTAGACCAGTGGTCGCCAACCTGTCGATCGCGAGCTACCGGTAGATCGCGGAGGCAATTCTGGTAGCTCTCACAACGATTTTAATGTAAAAAATACAAACAAAAAGAGAAGCTTCCGAAAATTCCACAAAAAATCTAATTGTCATAATATTAGACATAAACAGCGGCAACGTTGCGGTGAGTGATCTGCTGCTGACGCCATCAAGCTATGTTAGTAGAGAACAACAAAAAATAATATTATGGCAAGCAGTTGTAAGAAGGTAAAGACATACCACTTTCATTCGGAATGGGAAGAACAATACTTTTTTACAGAAGTTAAAGATAAAAATGTGTGTTTGTTATGTAATACTTCGGTCTCCGTTGCTAAAAAAGGAAATATTGAGAGATATCATAAAACTGTACATTCTAATTTTGAAAAATCATTCCCACTACATTCTGCCGCCAGAAAGGAGAAACTGAAACAGTTAAAAAAGTAGTTAATTGGACAACAATCAATATTTTTAAGAACAGTCGACAAAAATAAGACTGCAACTGAAGCATCGTACCGTGTGTCCCAGATAATTGCACAAAAAAAGAAACCTTATGAAGACAGGGAAATGATAAAACAGGCATTTTTAGAAGCTGCTGATTCGTTATTTGCCAACTTTAGAAATAAAGACGAGATAGTTTCAGCTATAAAATCTATGCAACTTTCTGCTAATACAGTGATGAGACGTGTAGAAGTAATGAGCAATCATATTTTTTTACAGCTTAGAACTGACTTAGATAACTGTGTTTATTTCACTTCAACTGGATGAATCAACAGATGTCGTTGACACTGCCCAGATGGCCGTATTCGTCAGGATAGTTTTTAGTGATTTTACGATTAAAGAAGATCTTTTGAAGTTTATTCCACTGAAAGGACACACTACTGGACGGGAGTTGTTTTCTCATTTAAAAAATATTATTTCTTTCGAGAAAATTCCAATATCGAAAATGGTAGGCTTGAAAACCGATGGCGCTCCAGCTATGGTGGGTTGTGATAAGGGTCTGGTGGCGTTATGTCGTAAAGATGAAACTTTTTCGCAATTTCTCTGTTCCCACTGCATTATCCATCAGCAAGCATTATGTGGAAATTTCGTGAAACTAAACAACGTTATGAAACTGGTGGTAAAAATTGTGAACAAGATTAGAGCTCAAGCGTTACAAAGAAGATAATTCAAAACCTTGGCCGATGAAGTTGACTGTCAATACGGGGACCTATTCCTTCACTCTGAAGTCCGATGGTTAAATAGAGGACGGGTGCTGAAACGTTTTAATGGTGTCCTATCTGGCATAGTTCAATTTTTCAAACAACGCGATGAACCGACTCCGGAACTAGAAAATTCAATCTGGCTTAGAGATTTTGGTTTTCTCGTGAACATTACAGAGAAATTAAACGAACTCAATTTGCAGCTTCAGGGGAGAGACAAAGAACTAGCGGAAATGATTTCTGATATAAAAGCATTTATCAAAAAGCTGGAGTTTTGGGAACAAAACCTAATTAACAGCGATGCCAAGCATTTTCCTATTCATTCAGAAAAAATATCTCAAAATCCATTAGAACCCTATGACAGCAAATATCATGTAGAAATAGTTTCTACCCTGAAGAATAACTTCAAAAATAGTTTTAAGGATTTCAACGAAATGGCTTTAGTAGCGCAGTTTGTTGTTTCACCCTTTATGGAAATTGATATCCAACAGTTTGCAACTTATGTTATGCAGAACTTTGGCGAAGACATCGCTGCAACAGAAATGGAAGTAATTGAGTTTCAAAATAATTTAGCCTTAAAATCGTTAGTCTCAAGTACCAAATGTATCTGGCCCATTGTAAGTAAAGACAAATATTCAGTTTTATGCTGTGTTGCCTTGAAAGTGAAAGCATTATTCAGTTCAACCTATTTATGTGAATCTTCTTTTTCCAATATGAAGTTTATTAAGAACAATTATCGCAATCGACTTACAGATGAACATTTGGATAATTGTATTCGAATGGCTGTATCAAATTATACTGCAAACATTAAAACAATTATCGATGAGTCTGAGTGTCAGCCTTCTCATTGAACGTGATTTCTTATTTTTCAATGTTTATGTTCATGATAGTACGTTCCTTTTTTGTTGTTATTATTAACTATTTTTAAATCTTACGTGACATGCCGTTGTGGCTGGATAAAAGTTTGTGTTTATTTTTCAAACACCTTCGTTTGGTAGGTAGGTAGGAATGTAGCTATGAACAAGTACGTACTAGTAATATTCGTTATTTTGTTATTAGTTTATTATTAGTACCTATGTATTATGTATTACCAGTTAAATAGTAAAATAAATACATATAATGATAAATTAACTGTGGATTATTTCATTTACGTTGCGTTACGTGGCTTCCGTGTGGGTAGCTCGCTGTTTATTCCAAAATTAACAAAGTAGCTCAACACATTGAGAGGTTGGCGACCACTACCTTAAGAAATATGCCGAGATTCAGTACACACCACAGTTTTTGGAATGCGTAAACATCTGCAAAAACTTTCTTACAAATTAACCCCTACTACAATATCCAACTATCTCTATACCATTCAATTTAATAACGGATGCAAGCAACCTTGAAATTAATGCTGTACTATCACAAGGTCTCGTGGGTGATAACAAACTCATTGCACATGCCTCCAGGACATTGAACAAGACATAATTTAAATATTCAACCATTGTAAATGAAATGTTGGCTATCGTATGAGCTACGAAGTACTTCCGCCCATACCTGTTTGGAAGAAAATTCAAAATCCTATCAAATCACCACCCTTTTCAATGGCACTTGTCCTTAAAAGACACAAATTCGTAAGATGGAGCCTAAAATTTGAAGAATACAATTACTAAGTAATTTACAAATTCAATACGAACGTAGACGCTTTATCCAGAATAGAGATAAACATGAAAACAAAGACACACAACCCCGAAGAAAGTCTTCAAGAAGCCAAATTTCCATGAACTAATCCTTTTACCCACCCTGAATCTAAGTATAACCCATGAACTTCTTAAGAAGAATGTCAGATTTAACCTTACTCAAGTACTTCCTGTTTCAAAACTTAGTTTAATTGATCTACTCCTTAAATTACCTATTATTTAATTAATCAAGTAAGAAGTAAGATAGATATCTCTTTGTATAGAGAGAAAAAGAAAGATAGAAGGTTTTCATTACATACTCTGTACTAAATGTACTTTTAAGTTACTCCAAGAATCATTTCATGAAAGTTTTATTGCACTAGAATAATTGACACATCTCAGATGTCATCCTTGTCATATATCTAATAATGTAAACAAAACCATCTTTAAAATAATAAATATGAAATTAATTTTTAACTTAGTTAGGTAATAAAAATATATACATCTTGAAGGCTTACGTCATACTTCTGTATTGTATTCATAATTTTAGGAGAGTCATCCCTGGAATATACATTTACTAAAGAAAATCGACAACCTCAGGAAAAAGTAAATAACAGACAAGAAGAATGGAAAGTTTATCTACTTGAAAATTCTCTTTTCCAAAATATTAAATAATTATTATGATAAAAATTATGGTACTTGGTACATAAATTCTTTTAATCAGGATATTTATTTTAAGAGTGCTATAATCCTGTAACAAAATATCCCAGTTTTTATTTATGTGTGAATAGTTATTAGAAATTGTAAAAAGTATTGTCTATTCTTTTTTGTTTCCTCTTTCTATTGTTAAATACAGTTATGAATTCAATTCGATATAATCATTACTTATTCTCAAAATTAATTGTCTAAAATTTATCTAAATCTCTTTTAATTGGATGAGAGAACATTTATAGAAAAAATCCGGGTAATCTAATTTGATTAAAAAAAAATCATAATGATTTAAGTCAGTTCAACTTAATTCCTCATTAGCAGGTGAACAAGAATCCTCGCAATTCCCTATAACTAAAGCAAACAATATAATCGCAATTAGCTTTTACATCCAATAATTCAATTAAAACCAGTTACGTCACTGGGTCGTGAGTTCGATTTTTTTCATTAATTTTCATTAAACAGTATTACGAGTAGGTACTTCCGACGAT